TGAATCACATTGTTGGAAAATTTTGAGGACGTTTTAGGGCAACCGTCTACCAAAACAATTGTAAAATACGTAAAAATTATTTAAAGAAATTGAAGGATTGATGTCGATTTAACGGAATTTACGGAAACGGAAATCAACCTTAACGGCCTTTCCGAAACAGGATTTTCCAAAAACAACCTTTCTCCTACGCTAGAAACTCCAGAAAACCAACCCTTGACGCCCTCAACGGTGAGGTGAACGAGAAGCCGAGCCCGGAATCGGTGGTTGCGGTGGAGGGGGCTAAAATACAGCCATTTTCAATAGCTCAATCTCCACTCACGATTTCGTCGTTGAATATCCGCCGTCGCAGATCGTTGATATCCCCGGGTCGACAGCGTACAAGGCGTTCGGTCCGGATCGGGCCCAGCGTCAGCGTCGAAGAATCAGTATCCCGGAAACGGGATGTTGAGGGAGCGGAGAGAGAGAGAGAGAGAGAGAGAGAGAGAGAGAGAGAGAGAGAGAGCGAGAGCGAGGGAGAGAGAGCCAGGGAGAGAGAGAAGGCAAAACCCACATCGAGGCTAGGCATAAAGTTTTGACGAGTTGCGCGCGTCGACTTCTCCGGCGTCTCCGAGGGGGGGCAGCGGGGCGGCCATGTGTCGTTTCTTGTACTCTCTCCAGCGTAAGCCGACGGGCTTTCACCAAAATAAAGACATAAGGTCTGTATTTAAGCTGTCCTAAACCACAAACTTAAAAGTCTAAAAAGGTGGAAAAGGGTAGATTAGATAGAAAATGTTAGCTTCTTCTAACTATTTCCCGAAGCATCTTTATTTTATCAGCGTTTTCTACTTGTTTAAGGCATACCTTACGTAACTGGCGGTCAACCCAAGTCCGCTGGCGGTCCGTAGGTTGCATAGTCGAGCAGCCCTCGCCCAACTTCTTCAGCAGCCGCGCGGATTCTCAGACTTTTCGACGAATCGCGGGGCGGCACCCGGGCGTGTGGGCGTGGCCGGCTCGTGCTCAGAGCTCGGCGTGGCGCTGCTTTTGCGGGAGATTTGGTGTACTAGAGTAAAAAAATAAAATTCAGAATCCATAATTTCATGAATTTAGAACCCAAGAAAGATGAAAATACCTACCCATTCTCGACGGTTGAGCCGGAGGCGAAGACGGGCCGGATCGGGCGTGAGCCGGCTCCTCCTTCTCACGATCGGTCACGTCCCTCCTGAGCAAGAAAAGCCCTGAAGGCCCTGCGAGAAGTCTTGTGGTGGTGGGGATACCGAGCAGCGGCAGGCCTCTTCCTCCTCCTTCCATTTTCTGCTCCATCAGCCAGCGCTGGTGGGGCGGCACGGATGAGGGGAAGGATCTAAAAAACGGATCGTACCAAAAAAAATCAATTTCACATACTTGTCATCGCCACTATCCTTGTCCTGCTTCGATGGCCTTTGCTGCCACGGGTCGATCGCTCGGCCGGGGTTGCTGGCTGCTGGGCATGGCGATCGGATGCACGGCGCTTCCTTGGCTCCGGCTTGTCGGGGGACCCGGATTTCCGGCCACCTCCGGCTTCTTCGAGCTTCTGAACATGGGCCAAGCTTCGTGTTGTGGCTTGAGCTCTTCGCGGCTCTGGAAAAATGACGATTAATTGAAGCTACAGAAAAGGGTTCTTAAGATAGGAAAAATTAACAATTACAGAAAATTAATTGTAACTAAAATTACATTACATCAACTTGCTTTAAATATCATTTTTAATAGGAAAAAGAAGAATTATATCAACCCAAGTTTAGAAAAATTACCGGTCGGTTGGCAGACGATCGAAGCGAGGTAACGGGCTTCTGTCGTCCGGAGGTGCGCTTGCCAGTGGAGGCCGGGCCGGGCTCCGGTGATTTCTGCCCTGTAAAAATAATCAATAATAGTTTTGTTTTCATTAATCCCCTTTACGGATAGAATCCTTCAAACCGACCTTAGCACCACGCCCCTTCTGCCTGGCGTCTTCTGTTCCTCGGTCTCGCTCTCAGGCTCCTCCTCCTTGTCCGAATCCCTCGACCTCGCCCTCCTCCTCTCGCCGGGCGCCCTCTTTCTTCGCCTGTCCTCCTCGGCCACGTCCGCGCTTTGGCGACACGTCCTCTTCGGGGAGGCCTCCTTCTGGGGGATGGTTCCTTCTTGGGTGATTCTCGACCTCTTCGGGGACTTTGGCTCCTCCCTGGGGGTCGGGGTCCCTTGAGTGAACGGCGGCTACGCTTGTTGGGTGGCTGGGCCTCGGAGTCGGAAGCGCCCGACCGGCACCACTAAAAACGGGGTATTTCAAAGGTATATCGAATTTATTCCTAGTCTTTTTTCAGTTTTTAGATATTCCCGCCAAAAATTAAAATTTACCTCCGCCCTCCTTGGCGCCCTCGCTGTGTCGCTGGGCCCTGGCGGCCTGTCCGGCAGGCTTCGGTTCTTGTCTTCGGCGCCCTCAGCGGTATCAGCCACGGCCTCGTCCTCAGCAGTGCTCTCCTGAGCCCCTTTGTTATCCTTGTCGACACGACGAAGCTTGATCATCGGCGCACCGCGGGGCGGCCGGCCGGGCGCCTTCTTCTCGGTGCTCTTCGGCTTGGCCTTGGCGGCCGAGGCCGGCGTCTTCTGGAGGGGCGGCGTGGCGCTGGACTTGCGCTTCGGCGGAGATGGTGGCGGTGATGGACAGAGGCCGTGGCTGAAGCCGACGATCGGGCACGCCGCCGGGTCGGTGCACGTGCATTCCAACGGGCGCGGGCAGTTCAAGTAGTCCGGAGTCGAATGGTATCGTGATCTGGAAAAGAGGAAAAATAATTTTTCAAACCATTTTTCCTCTTTTTTTTAAAGTCATTTTTCTAAAAAAAAATAATAAAAAAATAATTTTATAATAGCTTATACGTAAAATATTTTTGCTAAATCAGATTTTAGAAAAATCAGAATGTCGAAAGTGTATAAGGAAAATCGAATTACTCTAATTTTTTCCTCTTGTGTTTTTTGACAAAATCCCCTCTCACCTCCGTTCCTGCTCGATGTCCCGGTGGCGCTGGAGGAGGACATGGAGGCTGCCGCTGAGTATGACGTGTTTCAGCACCGTGTTCGGCTTGACAGAGCGGCGGACGAGCGCGAGTCACTGCCCTTTCGCCGGCCGTCGACGACGAGCGGCGTGTCAAGCGAGAGCCCCAGAGTACAGTAAGCAATGGGGTTGCACCTAAAAATTTTTTTGTATAATTCTTGTTTTGTAAAAACAATTTTTAACTCCTCGCGATCAAGTATGCTGCTAAAAAATACCTGGCAAAAGGGCCACTCACCGATCCGACTTTTTCCCTGCCCGGGCACTCGCTGGGGAACGAGATGCGGCTTGAGGTATTGGATGACGAGGTCATTTTTCGGAATCGCCAAGCTATGGCTACTAGGCCCTCGACGTCAGGAGACGACTATCCGGGAGGAATAAAACCAGAATTTCCACCGTACATTTAGCCTTAACAAAAATTAATTTAATAACGTTTAAAATGACAGCAGTATCGCAAAGTCCATCAAGATAAATTTACCTTCGGCTTGTTTTGGTGGATATTCTCCACAAATCTTGAAATCGGCGCCGTGTGTTGTTTGGAAGGTCGAGAGCAGCTCCGTGGCAAGGAGGGGCCGCAAAAAAACTTATTCAATAATTAAAAGGGGTTTTAATTTTGCTAAAATAGCTTTAAAGGGTTTTCAATCTCTCAAAATTAATTCCTCTTTTAAAACATTGCAAAACCAACTAACGATTTCAACCACTTTCAAAATTCAAAAAGCTAAATTTTTAATAACTTTAAAAATTTGAATTTTTCAAAACTGAAAATTACATAAAAATCGCTTACAATATTCATTCGTCTTGATCTCGGTGAACTTCTTTGTACTGGGCGGTGCTGATGGGGCGCATCTGCTCGGTGCGCCGCCTCTTCTTGGCCTTCAGGGCACGGGCCTCCTCGCGGGCCTTTCGCTTCTCCGCCCGGCGTTTCTCACGACGGTCCTTCTTCCGCTGCTTCTCCTTCGTCGGCTCGGCGAGCTTCTTTCAGCTGGTAGTCTTTGGCCTGGAAAAAATGGAATAATTTCAAAGTATTCAATACAAAATCGGTTATTTCTGATTGTCGAAATTCAATCCGCCATGTCTAAAATTAAATTTGGGATTTCTTTCGACAAAATAATTTGAATGATGAATTTTGAAAATTCCAAATACCGTAGTCAATTAAAATATCAATAAATTAAGAAATATTAATTTTAATTGCACCCTCCCACCTGTCCCTTGGTGAGCCTTATCTTGCGCGGGCTGCACTGCTCGCACAGGTAGTTCTTCGGGGCTTGGGCGGTGGGGATGCTGACACATTTATACATGTGCTGCCACACGTCGCACTTGTTTAATGAGATCATGTGTACTTGTCGTTGTGGCTCATCTCTGCACCAACATCTGCAAGGAGGAATTTTAGGTAGATGATCACAATCCCTACCTAGTCGTATAGTCTCCCCAGTCTGGGGGGACGGTGGTGGCGCCTACCTTAGAGTCGGCATCGGACTCTCTTCCGGGAGCTGGAAAACGGTAGATAGAATAGCTAATTAAAAACTAGAGGTTTTTACAAAAGATTAATTAGATCCCACAAAAAAAAAATACTCAAATACAAAAAATCCCATAACGAAAAAACAGCATTTTGTGCTAAAAATGAAAAATAAATCTTTTTAACAATTTGAACGTTCTCGTGGCTTTTACCCCATCCCAACTATAATTTATGTAATTTTTATGCGCTCAAACTGATAAAATTTCTTCAAAAATGTTTTTTTTTCGCTAAACTATTTCTAAAAATAAAGCGAAAATCCTAAAAGTATTATGTAAAAAATTAAGATATTTAAACTCACAAGGCTCTCTAACTGGCAGCGAAATTTTCTGGCCGCTAACCATAGCCATTGGAGTAAGCGGTAGTTGGCAGGAACTCAAAAAGAGGCGGTGACTCGATGAGTGGGTGAGAAGCTAAAATAGATAAATTACACAAAAATAATTACAATTACTCCTCACCAATCTCTGGTGGAAGCACGGGGACCTGCGGAGGCTTCAATGGGGCCAACTGCTCGATTTCGTCGCCCTGCATCAAAAGAAAATTATTAATTTCTGATCGTAAATAGTTATAACAATAAAATAAAAAAAATAGTAACTAAAAATACTTTGTAAATGATAGAACAAAAAATAAATAGGATAAAAACTGACCATCATCATCTTGATCGGGCTCCTGCTTCCCACCTTCACCGGGCTCATCCGCTTCGGGCTCACCGAGGTGGCCACCATTCCGGGGGTATTCGGCGGCATTGTTCCCTGAAAATGGAAATATACATTTAATTTAATTTACATTTTAAAACAATTCAAACAAATCATTTTTTAATAGGATTAAAATAATCATTAAAAATAACACGCTATAAATCAAAACCTTAAAATCCTAATTAAAAATTAATTCAGAACA